AGGAGTTTCAGACTGAGCACTGCTTGTCCTGGAGCGCGGCCTGAAACCTCAGGAGCCAGACTGGGTCAGACGTAGGCACCTGCTGCGTTCAGGGTCAGACTGGGTCTGACTTGGAAACGTATGGCGTCCAGGCTCGGACTGGGACTGGGTCTAATGCCCGAGTGGGGCCAGTGTGAGGCCTCAGGTGAATATATTTGGTGTGAGGGCTGAACAAGCAGGTTTACCTTATCAAAGAGAATCAAGTTAGAGTGGCCACAGTGGAGAATGTTTAACCTAGATGAGCTTATCCACTTACAAAGTGCCCAGCGTTAAAGGGGTCTCATCGGGCACTCTCCATAAAAGATAAAGGAAAAATTATTTTTCTTCCTGTACAGTTTCAGGGGACTGAGATGAGACCTTCTGGGACGCCCCCTCAGTCCAGAACCTGCAGAAGGCAACCTGGGGAAACTGGCAGAAGCTGGCAAATGGGGAGAAATCTTACTGAATCAGCTCTCCCAGACCTGTATCTGTGAGGCCTGGTCGAGAGAGAAGTAGAATTTCATGTTGTCCTTTGTAAATTCCAACTCTTGTGAATTTGATTGTGGGGTACTCACTGGTTGTTGATTCTTCCTCTCCTCAGACAGCTATTGCCTTCTTTTTAATACGTATTTAAAGAATAGGGCTTTTTAATACCACTGTGTGTGCCTGTGTGTGTGTATACATGTATATGTTATATGTATATGTGCATGCTGCATGATTTCATGTTGTCCTTTGTAAATTCCAACTCTCGTGAATTTGATTGTGGGGTACTCACTGGTTGTTGATTCTTCCTCTCCTCAGACAGCTATTGCCTTCTTTTTAATACGTATTTAAAGAATAGGGCTTTTTAATACCACTGTGTGTGCCTGTGTGTGTATATGCATGTATATGTTGTATGTATATGTGCATGCTGCATGCATACACAGCACGCGCACACACACACACACACATTTCATCTATTATCTCCGCTATATCTACCTTCTCAGCAGTGATTTTAAAAATCTAAATACTGTAGCAATGTTAATTATATTATCTTGACAGAACTTGTTTTCCCAGTAATTGCTCTGTGAGAATTAAACGCTAAATCAGCAAATTTCTAGAGTATTCAGTCAATCTGCTATTAGGCAAGATTATGCCTTTTCTGTTAAATGGTTCCCAGAGGCTTACAAAATAGTTTAACTTTGTCCTACATGTGGATTAATTTCCTTTTTCTGGTTTTATTTACATACATTGTGAAATGATTACCATACTAGGTTCATCTAACATGCATCTTCTCATATAGAGACAAAAGAAAGAATAAAGGGGAAAAATTCTTATGATAAGAACTTTTGGGATTTATTTCCTTAACTTTGCTATATATCCACAGCAGCACTAGTAAAGTCATCATGTGGTACATGACATCCCTAGCACTTATTTATCTTATTAGTGGATGCTTTTATCTTTTGACTACCTTCCTCCAGTTCCTCCTACCCTCAGTCCCTGCCTCTAGTAACCAGAAGTCTTATCTCTTTTTGTATGATTTTTTCTTTGTTTTTTATTTCTCATTGTAAGAATTTTATTACAAAGGTCACTCCTAAAAGAATAACATGTCTTTAATAAATTTTGGTGTTTTTTAGAGTCCACGCATAAGTAAAATCATACATCTTTGTGATATATATATCACAAAGCTAGTGTGCAGCAGAGTTGGGATTCTAAGGGAGGAAGTCTGGCCCCCAGTCATCAATCACCTGCCCAGAGGGAAAAACTATTATCTACCTGGAGAATCTAATGATGATCCCTTGGCCACACCCTCTCAGCACTGCAGGCTCTGTTCTGCATGCATCCCCTTCACTCTGGCTCCTCTGTTTTTACAGTTGATATATCACACAGCTAGTGGGGAGCAAAGCTGGGATTCTAAGGGAGGAAGTCTGGCTCCAGGTTATCCATTGCCTGCCTAGAGGGAGGAACTATTTTCTACCTGGAGAATCTAATGATGATCCCTTGGCCACACCCTCTCAGCTGCAGGCTATGTTCTGCAGGCATCCCCTTCAGTCCCTCCTCTGGCTCCTCTGTTTTTATAGTTGGTTTCTTTCTAATTCAATTCTTTCAGGTGCACCCTTTAGTCTTTGGCAATGCTGGGCTCTCTGGGTCCATTCACATTTGAACCTGAAAGACACAAAGAAGCCAAGTTCTGAGAATTATGGGCACTGAATGCAGGAAGTAAGTGTAGACATCTTGAGCTGGATTTTCCTGGTTGTCTAATGTCATCACTCCGGCCCTTACAAAAGGGAAGCAGGATAGTCAGAGTCAGCGAAGGAGTTGCAAGATGGAAGCAGAGGTCAGAGTGATCGGAGTCAAGGATTTCAGGCAGCCTTGAGCAGCTAGAAAAGGTAGGGAATAGATTCCCTCCGAGAGCTTCCAGAAGGAACATAGCCTCAAGGACACCTTGAGTTTAGTCCTCCAGAGCTGAGGCTCTGACCTCCAGACTGTAAGGAATAAATTTGTGTTGGTTAGTCACCAGGTTTATGGTAGTTTTTTACCACAGTGATAGGAAACTGGTACATCAGAGCCTTCTCTATTCTTCATGACGGTGACTCCTTCCCAGTGTCCAGGGCAATTGTCCCATAGCACTCCTCACTGTGTCGGTTCCCTATTGATTAAAGTTAAACATGGGTGATGACGTGTGCCTCCCACTCATCACACCAAGAAGAAGATAAGGTCAAACGGTCCCACAACGGGTGATGCTAAATTTGGCCCTGGTTCAGGGTAGCTCTCTCATCTCCCCACTGCAAAGGCATATCCTTCTTCAGTATGAATAAATAAACCGTAGGATATAACTTTAAGAACATGTGATTATCCTGCTCCTAAACAGCCATGCAGCAGTTTTGGTGGCATGACAATTATATAAAATGCATTCTGGAAGCCTGGTAATTTTGCAGTGTACGCATTTTGAGACTCTAGCTAATGGCATTAGAAGAAACTTGATGTTCAGGGGATAAAGTCAACACTTTTGCTCGAGCTATTTAAGAAATCTGGTTTCACTGAGAATTTCCAAACATCCTGCAAATCCACTTTTTCTAACATTTTCTGAAGTGCAAGACTATGTGATCTGTTCACCCACAAATTGAGATACATGTACAGAGAAGGGATCAAGGTGCAGATCTTTGTGTGCGTGCCCTGTGGACATGTCCATCCACCTCAGAGTCAGTCCCGTCGGGGAGAGACAATCCCACGCACCAGCTGTCTCCTGTACTGCACCACAGAGAGGCAATATAGCATATCTAGGGGTTCAGAGGAGGTTTCTGGAGGCGTGGGGAGTTGGTCAGGTGTATAATAAGTTCTGCGCAGTTGGTCAGACCATTTTACAAACTCGGTGATTGAGTTTGGGAGACATTAAACAATTCCTGAGGTCACACTCAGCCAGTGAGCCAGGATTTGAATCCTAGGAGAAGCGTGATTATGTCTGTGGAGTGTCAGGCCATCCTCATTTGTGTGCCACAGAGAGGATAATGAAGAAGACACTACAGTTTCCTGGAGGCTCACCTACAGCAGGTGCGCAGTGTCCGTGGGGCAGGAGGTTGGCATTAAAACCAAGGTTTTAAGCCTCCTGGGCCTCATCTGTGCACCTGGGGTGATAATAGCAACAATGGTGAGACCCAACATTTACTGTGGGCTCACTGTCTACATTTACTGCCACAATTTTCCTCATCTCTAAGTCGGGAATATCAAGAATAGTCATGAGGATAATAAATAATAAGTACCATTTATTGAGCATTTATTGCATAAAAACCTCTGTTCTAAGAGAAACATACACCTTGGAGTTCCTCATCTGTGGCCTGGGAATAACAGCAGCAGTAATAATAAAGGACCATTTGTTAAACACTTAATGGATTATAAACCCCTGTTCTAAGTGACTCACACAGCTCAGTTTCCCTCACTGAAGACTGGGAATAATGAATCATCGTAAGTGAAAGCCAACATTTCCTGAGTGTTTGCTGTGTGCCAGGTCCTGTTCCCAGAACTCTATTCAGTCTAGATAGACAAGGCCCAACTTGACTGGGTCGCCAGCAAGCCTTCCATATCATCTCCCTCCCTCTTCACCTCATTGTGTTCCTCCTCCATGTTGGCCTCCAGATGCTCCCCAAACCCACTAAGCTCAGTCCCCCTCACAGCCCCGGGCATGCACCATTCCCTCTGCCCATGCACATCTCCCCAGATACCCACAGGACCCACTCCACTCGCCCGCTCACCTTCCTGCTCAGACATCACTTCCTCAGCGAGACCCTCCCTGATCCTGTCATGTAAAAGCCAGGACCCACAATAGTACTTATTGCTGCTGCAAAAGAGGCATCCAGCAAATGCTTGCTTAATCAGTACCTGCTTACAAAGTGGCAGCGGCCTGGCGCAAGGTGCCTTTTGGAATTGGGTATCGTCCCTCCCCCTCCCCCTCCCCAGCTTCCTGAGTAGCTGACATACATACAGCTCAGCTAAGTAAGTGAGGGCAGAGCCCCAAGAAGACCTGAGGGAAAGCACCCCAGATGAGGGCCCTGCAGCATAGAGGCTCTACGATGACAATGTGCTAGGACAAGGGTGGAAAGCTAGAACCTAACGTGTGAGGGGGAGCCCAGGTAGGCGGCAGGTCTCAGAGGCCCAAGAGGTCAGTCAGCAGGAGTCTGTGGGGAACGCAGGGACTCTAGGATTTTACGCTGAAACACAGGAATCCGACACGACCTGATGCGGGTTTTTAACACGTTTCCTCTTGTTCGTGTTGGCAAAGCAGACGGTTCAGGAACCGGAGGTGCAGCGGTGGAGATGGGGCGGACTTGACGCCCTGAGCTGCTCCGGAACCTTCAGTGTTGAGCTGGTGAGAGCGCTCGCCGGCCTGGGGGCGGAGTCCGGACGAGGCCCCGCCCATGGCGCGTGGAGCCCCGCCCCGCGTCGGCCCCGCCCCTCTCCACCACCCCGGCGACTCCTGGAGCACAGACTCAGGCCCGGAGGTGAAGGACCGTCTGAATTGCCTTTATTTCTCGGCGGGCCTTGAAGCTGGGGATCGGTGGGTCCCACTGGCCTAGGGGGACCACAGGGCCAGCTCCACCAGCGGCTCCAGGTCCTCCTCGTGGCGGGCGTACAGGGACTCCGGGTCGGGCTGCCGGAGCGCAGAGTCAGGCTGTCAAGCCGGTGGTTGCCTTTGCCCCGTAACCGTCAGCACCCGGGGATGCCCTGTACCCCACAGACCCTCCTTCCGAGGGACTCTGGGGACGTCCCCGCCCGCTCTGCCTCCCTCTCTGCCCGCCTCGCCTCCATCCCTGGCTCCCGACCTCTTCTTTGTGGGCCCAATCGCCCGAGGGGCTCTGGGTCTGGGTGGGGACTTGCCCCCCGGATTTCTCCAGCTCCACCTTCAGCCTGCAGAGAAGGGACAGAGGAGAGAGAAGAGGGAGAAGAGAGCTAGAGTGGAGGGGTCAGGAGGAAACCACTGAGACCCAGTGACCTGCGAGGCCCAGGCCAGTCCTCCTGGGAGGGGTGGTGCTGGGGGAGGCATTGGCCCATTCCCTTCCTCCCTGCCCGGTCCCCTGCCCAGGACCTCCTTTCCCCTCTCACGCTTCGTTCACTGCCAGGGCGCCCTGGACCGTAGGCGAGGAGCCCAGCTTCTGCTCCACCTGCTCCAGCTTGGCCCTCGCTAAGTTCTCTGCAGAGGGTGAAGGGTGGGCATCACCGCGGGGCCGGAGCTCCCACGCGCCGCCGCGACCCTGTCCCCCAGCCCACGCGGGAGTCCCACCTTCAGTGAGCAGCTGCTCCTTGCTGCTCTGCAGCGCGCGGATCTCCCAGGCCAGTCGCCGCTCCAGGACCTGCTGGAGAGAAGGGGCCTGTCTTTGGTCTGTAGTCCTGGCGCCCTGCTCCTTCGAGCCTCTCCTTAAATCCTTACTTGAATTAGGTCATTCATTCATTCAACTACTCATTAACTCAAAGTGCAGTTTCTGCTGCGGCTCCCGATGTCCCTGTGTACCTCTTAAACCTTAGGTCCTGCCACTCCCCTGCCCATCCTCCAGTTTGCTCTTCTCCAAATGTCCAAGGTAGAGTTCAGCCTCAAGGCCTTTATATGGGCCTTTCCTTCTGCCAGGAGATTTTTCACCCAGCTTCGTGCCTGCTTCCTCCCTTACTTCCTTTGTGTCTGCATTCGGATGTCACTTGCTGAGGCCTTCCCCAACTGATACTACATGATTGTCTTACTTATTTTCTTATTTAGAGTATGGGTATGCCCCCCTTGCCCCAAACCATCCTGGGGCCAGCAGACACTTGGCCCTTGGATTCCCCACTGTCTCCTCCTGCCTGGAATGCTGCAAATGCATCCAGGGACATTGATTGAATGAAGGAACAATCTGACCATGGCTTTTTCCCATTTGCCACTGCAAGGTAAGCACACTCTAGGTGAGCAGGAGGGGAACAGGGTCAGCAATGGTTACTGTGAGAGTCTTGGCAATGTGTTGCAGTGGGGGATGGTGAGAGGTGGCCAGATTAAAGGTAAAAGCTGAAGGGTTGGGTGGCTGGGCGAAAAGAACAGCCTTGAGGATTACGCCATGAAGTTGGGCTGGAGCAGATGGACCTGAGCAGCTAGTGGGGACACTGGAGAGGAGAGGCTTTGGTTGGAGGCAATGATGATGGCCCACCTGGAATTCCCAGAGGTCCTTGTGCTGGCCCATGAAATCCTCCAGCTGTTCTTCCATGTGTGACCTAGGGGCCAACACCCAGGAGTGAGAGAACATCTACTAGGACTGACACACAGCCCGGCTCATTCTGAGGATTCCTCATGCACAGGCCTTTAGATCTTAGCCTGGTGCTCCATCTGGTAGGAGCCCTTTTCTGGGCTTTATCTTCCAATATTTCTGGGGTTCTTGTCCCAGCATCAAGAAGAGTTCAGCAATCTGGAGAAGGCTGTGCATAGATTAAATAGGAGTCCGGAGACAAGCATAAATTTGAAAGGCATTAGGGGGTCAGAGGAGCCTAGCTAAAGGACCTAAGTTCTAAGTTCTCAGGTCTTAGGTTTCCTCGTCCCAGGACTCCATGCTTTTTATTAACACAATATGTCCTGAGGCGAGTCAGAGATATACACTTCAAAGGGTATACAAAAGCATCCTCAGAATGGGGGAATTAGCCTATGGCTGTTCAGGTTGTTTGGCCAGTAGGAGGCAATAACATGTAGATTAAGATGCCTTTTAGCTGTCTGGCAGCCAAGCAATAATCCCCTTTTCAGGTTTGGGGAAATGCCTTCAGCCATTCCCAACAGGTGACTACATGTGTGACTCAACCCTGTTGAGTCCCCAAGTTTCATCAACCTTTCGATGAAACTCTTGAAATTATGACATGCTGGAATTGGCTTCCGGCACTCCAAGCCTTGGTTCCGCTAGCTCCTCTCCCAACAAATTCTCCCTGATGCAAACTCCACACCCACTCCCCACCCAGTGCCACGCCCGGGCCCAGTGGTTACCCCAGCTTCCTCTGTTCACAACTCTCTTCAATCTGAGAGTTACTGATGGAAATTTGATCCATGAACTCCTGCAACATGTGCTTCCAAGGAGTGGGAGCTCGGGGTTTGTGTGTAACCTTCGTCATTCCCCTTTCTTCTGTTGATTGAATGCGAAAATTTATGGGCCTCTGTTGAGACTATCATCCTGTCCATCCTGTTCCCCATCAAACCATGAATTTGGGCCTGATCTGAGCAGTGAGCAGAGACATTGACGCCAAAGAGGAGGGGCTTTGGTTGGAAGAACACTTTGTGAGGGGAGCAGTAGTTTAGCTTCATAGATTCTAAAGTCCTGACTTAAAGCCTGGATCTGCTATTCTACTGTGATCCTTTTACTCATCTGTAAATGGTGGTAATGATGGGAGGGTGACATTAGCCTTTAACTCCTTTAATTGTCTTTGTGAGGATTATGTTGATAAATGAACATAAACTGCTTATCAGACTCTGGGTGTGTGGTGTGTGGTGTGTGTGTGTGTGTGTGTGTGTGTGTGTGTGTGTGTGTGTGTGGTGTGTGGTGTAATTAAGCATTCACACACTTTATCCATCATCAGGTTTTCCTGTGCAATTAAAATCATGGTGCACCAGGGTGTGACAGCTCTGGTCACAGAACAGTTAAGTAAAGGTTCAAATGATGGAGAGATGGACGGATGAACGGTTGGCTGGACAGTTAATTGGATGAGTGAATGGCTGGCTGAAGAGATGATGGCTGGCTGGAGAAATGACCAGTGGAGGGAGATGGCTGGGTGGAGAAATAAAAGGATTACTAGAAGGATAGAGGATGTCTGTGTGGATGGTTGGGTGAAGAAATGAACAGCTAGATGAACAGATAATTGGAAAGATGGAGAGAAGATGAATGAATGATTAAATGGATGGAAGATGATTATATAGAAGGCTGGAGAGATACTGATTGTCTGGCTGACCGGATGAAGGATTGGATAGTAGGGCAGATGTATTGATGGGTGAATGGGTGAATGGGTTAATGGGTGAATGGATGAACGGGTAAATGGATGAATGGGAGGCCTAAATGAGCAGATAGATAAACAGATCTGGATAAAAGCAGAAGATCTGGATAACCAATAGGGGAAAGCTCAGAATAATACCAATGGATGAAATTTATAAATAAAGTAGCAAGGAATGATTAACTGATTGAGTTCATCTTAACACCACATCTAATATCAGAGATGAGCATAGAAGTCTTTTGTCTAGCTAGTGTATATTATAAAAGGGGGAAATGAGGAGTGTGTGTCCAAGATTTATTTTCCCTAGCTCTTGCTCCTTGCTCCTTCGAGCTGGGGAGTAAGGTGGGGCAGAGCGGGGCAGGACCTCTTACCTCTGAGCCTCGCTTTCCCTCTTTTGGCAGTGCAGCTGAAGGATCCTCAGCGCTTCTGTGGAGAGGAGCCAGGAGGGCCATGTGAGAGCTCTTGAGGAGCCAGGCTTGGGTGGAGGTAATGGGCACTGATGGGCACTAAGAGCACTTTAGTGTTTACTTCAAGTCAGGTGGCAGCCAATGGAGAGGTCTGAGCAGAGAGCGAAGCAGCCTGACTCAGGCTTCAGTGGGATCCTTCTGGCTTTTATGGGGTGATGGGGTAGAACAATGAAGACAGAACAGCTGTAAATACCTTGCTTTTTTCTCAAGACCTCCTCTAGGTGTACTTTCTCTCCATTCACTGAAAAACACAGTAACACTTTGAGTCTCCAAGGAAGGGGCTATATTCCGTGCCCCCGCTGCAACTTCATGCAAAGGCATGCCCAAGGTCATACAGAAGGTCTGGTGCAGCCCCAGGAGAGGGGAGGTATGTTCTTGCCACCCTGCACCCATCTCCCACTAGGGAGCATTCAGATCCAGCCTCTCCCTGTGGGTGCCCACATTCCCTGTAAACTCCAAAGGAGTAATGACTCTGCAGGATGCACAATGTTATAGCGAGGAAAGAGATGACTAGAAATAAATGCACCAAGTCAGATGAAAATAAAGGCCATGAAGAGTGAGAGTGACAGAGAGAGAAGATGACATCCTATTTCACATGGGACCATCAAGGTAGACCTGTTGAGTGAAGTTTGAGCTAAGAGCTAAAAGATGACTACAGGTAGCATGAAGCAATCTAGATTGCATAGCATAAGAGCATTGCAGGCAGAGGGAACAGCCCATGCAAGGACCCTGAGGTGTGCACAGGAACACCAGCAGTGTTATGGGATCTCTGGGTCCCTCTTTTGGTCTCACTTACAAGAGTCCAATTCCCTGTGCAGCGTTTCCCAGAGAGCTTGAGTTTCTCCCAATTCTTCATTGGATTTCTTCTTTGCTGAGCCAAAACACCAAAGAAGACACTGTGAATGCAGCCTCTAGCCTGGCTATTCTCTCTTAGATTGTGACACAGCACGCTATCTTCAAGCAACCTGGAGGGGCCTGAATTTTATAGATGAGGAAGGGGAGTCATCAAAGTCCAGGGCCAGCCTCAGTCCCAGTTTACCTTGCTGAAGCTCATTAATCCGGTTAATCAGATCTTCTATCTGTGGCTCCAGGCTTCCCTCTGCAGACGGAAAGAAAGATTAAATCAGAGAAGACAGATGCCTGGCTGTCCAAGGCAGATGGAGGGTGGGTGGGTGTTGGCATGTGTCTCTGCTGCTATCATCAGCACACATGTATTGAGTGCCGGTTGTATGCTGGGCTCTGTAAGAGGCCTTTTGCAGGGCTTGCATTCTGGGTGGGAGAGATGGACATTGAACAAAGATATACATCAATGTAGGTGGCAGTAATTGCTCTGAAGAGAAATAAAGTGAAGCAAGGGATTGGAGAGTTGAAAGCGTAGAAGGTGCTTCTGGAGATGTGAAAAAGGCTCCAAATGTAGAAAGGGCAGGGAGCCCTGCAGTTTTGTGGGGATGTGGGGTGTGGAGGGAGGAACCCTGACTAGGGCAGAGAGAGTGAGGCAGATGCCCAAAGTAATGGCTAAGGGGCTGGGTGGCAGGTACGAATCTAGTAAGCAAGTGGGGAGCAGCAAGAGGCAAGGTGGGGGGAAATGGGGGTGCAGATCATTGAGGGTGTCCAAGGACATGCTGGGGGCTTCTAGTTGTAATTCTGAGCGTGGTGTGGTGGGAGCCAGGGAAGACCTCCTGCCGGCCCCATCCTGTTAAATGCCTGGCAGGGTAGGTTGTCACTCTGTCCTTCCAGACCCTGGTATGGATCCCATTAGAGAAAATGGGAAAGTGCTGCTTTAATTTTGTGGGTGGCAGCTTTCAAGTTCTCCAGGGACAGGGAGGTCGCTGCCTCTTTAGTGTAGCTGTCTCTACCTTCTTACAGCCCCGTTATCAGTGTTTTGTGTGGAGAAGCCTTCTTCCTCATCCCTCTTTTGGCTTCAAGATCAGCAGCACAGAGCTGGGGCAAAAAGCTTCCCAGCCTTGCTGGGTCCCCAGCCCCAACACTCTGGAGTTAATAAACTCAAGCCCTGGATTTTCTGAGTCCTCCAGCTCCTGTGAAATTCTAGCACAGTGAGTGCTTCCAAGGTGCTAATTATGGCTGACAAAGCTTCAGTCCTGCAATTTCTCTAATGTTAGCCTAGGCAGGAGCCCCAGTGCACTTCTGCAGGAGCCACAGGGTCTGGGGAAGGGGGGGTTCCCTTCTATTAGGAACCAATCAATGCACTGTAGAATTTAACCAGAGGATGGGCTGGGGAGGGGGTGTGTCCAACCTCCAATCCAGCCAGAATTTTGCCCAGCCCTGATATAGAGGGCTCCCAGGCCCCCTTCAACAAACAAAGCAAGGCAAAAAGCTATTTGCATTGCAATTTGTGTATAAAAAGGGCAGACAAAGAACACACACCCATGAATGTATTTTCTTTTTAATCTCTAGAAAAATACCCAAGAATTTAAAAATAGTCACTGCTGGCCTGTGGGTCAGGGAAACGGATGGCTGGTGTGTGTGTGTGTGTGTGTGTGTGTGTGTGTGTGTGTGTGTGCGCGCGCGCGTGCACACTAAGAATAAATTGTGTTAGAGGGAGAGAGTGCCATGGCATAATTCTCCAAGGTTGTGAGCTGAGGGAGCTGGGTTTGAGCCACATGCCTGACTCAAAACCCCAGGGGAGCCTCAGATACAAGGAGACACACGACCTTTCTGCAGCTTTTTCACCATTGACAGCAAGTCCTCAGTCTTCAAAGGTTTGGTCTGCCCTGTGGAGATGAAAACCAGAATTACAGGATCCAGTGAGAGCGAGGGGACTGCGGAAAGGCCTATCTGGGAAGGGAGGAAGGAAGCCCCAATGGGTTCTACAGACACCCCTGGGCTGGGACCCAGGCCAGGCTGAGGGCGAGGCTTCCAGCAAGAGGAGGGCCTCGCAGGACCCGGCCCTTGTGCCCGAGGTTCATGGTGTGTGCTGGATGGATCGGGGACCCTTATGGTCAGCTTCTCCCTGAGGTCCAAGGACACCACAGACCCCTTAACACAACACAGGCGTGAGAGAAGGGGAAGCACTTTTGCTGCTGCTGTTCAGAATAGTATGAAGTTCTAACCAATGCGATAGGGCAGAGAGATTTCACATGAATTCTGTAAAATCATTATAGGCCACAATTTGCAAATCTTAAAGAATTTATGGGTCTAGGAAATAGTTATTAATGACTAACAATAAAAAAAAGACAACAGGGTATTATGAGCTTTTTGATGGAAGAACATAACAGCACCTATGAAGGGTTCTTGCCAACCAAAAAAAAAAAAAAAAAAGAAATCTTACTGAGGTTTCCATATCTAAATGCCAATTCAAAAGAAGTGCAAGGGTTAAATTTTATCATGGAGATGTGATCAGCATTATAAGACTCTGGCAAATCCCACAAGACAATCTTGTTTCTTCAACAAGCAAATTGCAAAGAAGAAAAAGAGAGAGGGGGAAACTATGATTAAAAGACTTGAGACAGCCCTAGCTGGTTTGGCTCAGTGGATAGAGTGTTGGCTTGCGGACTGAAAGGTCCTGGGTTTGATTCCAGTCAAGGGCACATGCCTGGGTTTTGGGCTCCATCCCCAGTGGGGGGTGTGCAGGAGGCAGCCAGTCAATGATTCTCTCTCATCATTGATGTTTCTATCTCTCTCTTCCTCTCTGAAATCAATAAAAATATACTTTTTTAAAAAAAGGCTTGAGACATATATCAATCAATTGTAATGAATACCTAATTTGGATCTTAATTCAAACACACTTTCACCATATATACTTCTATACATTTTTTTTAAAAAAAATATTTTTTAATGGTTTCAGAGAAGAAGGGAGAGGGAGAGAGAGAGAGAAACATCCATGATGAGAGAGAATCATTGATTGGCTGCCTCCTGCAAGCCTCACACTGGGGACCAAGCCCCACAACCCAAGCATATGTCCATGACCTTCTGGTTCTTAAGTCAACACTCAACCACTGAGCTATGCCAGCTGGACCTTCTATACATCTTTAACAGGAGCCTATGTTACTTTTAGAATTACAATAACAATAAAATAACAGAAAAAAATACATTGACATCTTAAACTTTTGAAATCAATGCTAAAAGGTCAAATCCCGATGACTCACCCCTCTCCAAGGAACACTGGGCAGAGAATATAAAAGGCAGCACACAAATCACACATGATAGCTAAAAAGCAATAAACAGAAAAGTCTCTTCCCCTCAGACACCAGTTCCTCAATTTCCCTCCTCAGAAGTCACTAGTGTTCCAAGCTTAGAGATAATTCAATTCATATGCAAGCATATCTCCACTCTTTCTACATAAGTGGTATCCTATCATGAATGATGTTCCACAGCTTGTATTTTTCATTTGACAATGTATACTGGTGATCTTTTTATTCTTTTTAGTGGCTGCATAGCGGTCCACAGAGTGAATATACCATAATTTAAGAGAGGTCCCTTACTAGTGGATATTTAGGTTGCTTTCCTTCTTTTGCTGCCAAAACTAAGTGCCATAAACCGGGGCTTCCTTTTGTGTGTGTTTGTGTTTTCATCTTGCATTCTATCTCTGTGTCCAAAATTCCCTCTTCTTATTAGGACACCAGACATTGGGTCAGGGCCCACCCTGATCCAGTATAACCTCATAGTAACAAGTCCTATCTACAGAGTAAATATCCAAAACTTACTCAACTCCTCTGGCTCAGAAATTCCACTTCTAGGAATCTATCTTAAGGAAAAAATTAAGGATGATGGCAAGATGTTCATTGTTTCATTGTTTGTAATCTTAAAAGATGGAAGCAACCTAAAGATGCCTTAGTTGATTATAGCACTTTTGTAGGATGAAATTCTTTGCAGCCATTAGAAATCATGTTGTGAACCAGGGGCTTGTAACCTGAACTTATTAAATTTTGTTAAAATATTTGGCGGTGTATTCACTCTCTTTACATATTTTTGTCTTGCCCGAAACCTTTTACAAATTATATGCATTAATTTAACTTTGCATTTGAATTTTTAAATTACTTATTAAACAAATGAAGAACATAAAGTAAAAAATTTGTTTCCCCTCACCATTAGCCCCTTCCCCAAGTCAATCCCCTTCCCAAGAAGTAATTACTGCCAACAGTTTGGTGAAGACATGCAGATCTTTTAGTAAAATGTCTTTTATGTATTGTTTTAATTTTTACTTCCTTATCCAAGTAACATTCTAAAAACATTCAAACACCACACAAACATGTGAAGTTAAAAATGAAACTTCCCCTTTTCTCCTTGGCCCCAAATCTCAGTACCTTTCTCTGGTATTAATAGGCTGGTATGTAGTCTCTTGAGACTTTAAGCAGTTTTAAATACTCTTACTATTTGGAAATTAAACAAAAAATTAAAGCTACTTTAATAATAAGGATAAGTATTTGTTATTGTTTTTTAAATAGTTCATTATGAAAACTTCCAAATGCACATAAAAGTAAGGAGAATGCCGTGATGAGCTCTGCTTTACTCATCGCCCAGATGTGACAATCCTTAATATTTGCTTCAGCTATGTTTTCCCAGGCAAGCTCCAGCCTTCAAAACATGTCATCCCCAGATACTTAAGTTTCACTACTTGAAGACATTTTCTTAGATGACTCCAATCCTATAATTATACCAATATTAACAATTATCACTAATCATTGGATCATTAATATCATCTAGCACCCAGAACATATGTGATTTCCCCGACTGTCCCATGCCTTTTATAGCTGGCTATGCAACCATTTTGTGAAAGTTCCATCTATTTTTCCTCTCCCCTGCACTTCTAGACCTAGTCATTGGGGTAAGATCATGGGTGATCAGTAAGTCTTTTAAATAATCCAACTAACAACTTGATAAAAGTATTTTTAAAATCCATGTTATAAAACAGCTTATAACGCACGAGCCCCTTTTAAACATTTTATTTTGAAATCATTTCAGATGTACATAAAAGTTGTAGAAATAGACCACAGTGCTCCTACTTGCCTTGTATCAGGTTTCCCATTTGTGAGCGTTTCTGTACCATAAATCGCAGGCACCATGGCCCATTATTCCTTAATGTTCCAGTGTATATTTACTTTATTCAAGGGGAACCTACCAGATAACCACAGTATAACCATCCAAACCAAG